TGCGTTCAAAAGTCGCAGGGTAGCTATTTCAGGATATCTTTGGTATCCTGAAATAATTTTGCTGTATAGACATACCCTTAGAGTCCTCACTGAGAGCCTGATCCCACACCCATTGAGTCATGTCCTCTGTGCACCACAGGGAACACAAAATTAAGGCTAACAACGTGTACAAATAAGGTTAAACAATAGAGCAAAAGTCAGTCTGAAGCTATTTAATGTCCCTGATCTAGCTTTCAGAGTGTAAGGTAAAAAGAAGTTCAAGGAGAGTATGGACGTGTTTTAGTCAGGGCTGTTGATGGGGGAGAGGAGGGCGGGGAAAGAGGGTATGTACCTCAGGGCTTGGTGATATAAAAGGGCCTGGGGCTTCAGGATGCCGCTACCATGACAGCAGCAGTAGTCAAAGCCCTAGGCCCTTTGAATTGCTGCTGGAGAGCCCCATGCAGGATGATTCAGGCAGTGCTGAAGGCTGGCTGGGGGAGGTGCAGTGTGGTCCAGGTGTCACTGAGGGCTGGCTTCCATTAGCCCTGCTTCTTGCTCCTAAGGCCTTGCCTCTTCCCCGGGGCACCCAGAACCGAGTCCCTCCCCCATTGGCCAGGGCCCAGTGAAGTCTGTCATCAGCCCTGGGTTTATTACATTGGTTTTCAAATTGCGGGGCATGCCCCATTATGGGAAGGTGTACAACGAGGAGACTGGAGTGGCAGTCCCCAGCAGTTGAGAGCACAGTCACACCTGCTGTGACAGCAGACTGTTTCTGTTCATCTCTTTCCACCTTGGGAGCTTCTTGTTTGCTTATCCTGCTACTGCCCTTCCCCAGACCAGACACCAGATTGGCTGCAGAAATCCTTGGTCTCGTCTAGACTGTGCTAGACTGTGGGAATAAGTGGCTCTAGAAATGGAAAAGGTAGGGCAAGGAACCCTGTTCAGCTCCATATTGCCATGGGCTCCTCTGGGAATGGAGTCACCAGGATCATGCCCTTACCCCAGATGTGAACTACCTGTTCGTAGTGAGTCACTTTCTGCCCTGGATGATGAGTAAGATTTAGGGAAGGAGGGAGGGTCTGGCTGTGACTCCTGTAGAGAAAGGGGGACACAGCAAAAACGTTTGGGAAGGTCTGTTTTTAAGAGAAATGGGCTTACGTACCATTCTCAATATTCCAGTGAAACACTTAGCTATACACACCCTGACCTCTCTTCTGCTTGAAGACAGGTCTAATTTTGTAGCTACATAATAGTTCTTGCTGTGCAGAGTTAGGTGTCCCTGTGCTACCCTACTTCCCACATTTTACTTTTTTTTGTGCACATGAGCTGATGGATAGTAAATAGTGAGCAACTATCCCTAATTGAGCAGGACAGTTCCAAAGTGTACATTTTAAGTCCAGGTTCTAAGATATTTTGGTATTGGAAAAGACTCAGAAAAGGGCAATAAAAACAATTAGGGTTTTGGAATGGTGCCATATGAAGCGAGGTTAAAAAAACTGGGACTTTTCAGTTTAGAGAATAAGGGTTTGTCTAAACTACACCTCTCTGTCGACAGAGAGATGTAGATTAGGCACATTAAAATTGCTAATGAGGCTAGAATTTAAATATCCCGGGCCTCATTAGCATAAACATGGTCGCTGCTTTTTTTTAAACTGAGTTTTTTCGAAAAAAAGGCAGTCTAGATGCAGATGTGTCGAAAATAAAACCTTTTTTGACAGATCCTGTAAACCTTATTTTTTGTGGAATACAGGAGCTGTTGAAAAAGGCTTTATTTTTGACAGATCCGCGTCTAGATTGCCTTTTTTTCGAAAAAACTCCGTTTCGAAAAAAGCGACGGCCATGTTTATGCTAATGAGGTGTGGGATATTTAAATCCCGGCTTCATTAGCAATTTCGACAGAGGGATGCAGTCTAGACGTAGCCTAAGAGACTAAGGAGGTGAGGGTTATGATAGTGGTCTATAAAATCATGACTGGTATGGAGAAAGTGAATAAGTTCTTTACTTGTTCCCATAATGTAAGAACTATGGAAAAAAACAACAAATGGTCTGGTAGCACTTTATAGACTAACCAAACATGTAGATGGTGTCCATGTTTTGTTAGTCTATAAAGTTCTACCAGACCATTTGTTATTTTTTTCCTGTAACAGACTAACTCAGCTACCCCCTGAAGCATAAGAACTATGGTTCACCAAATGAAATTAACAGATAGTAGATTTATAACAAGCAAAAGGAATAGTGATTTTTCATTTTTTTTTATTGTATCACTTTGGTATATATGGTTGTGCCAATTTTCTTCCACAAATTGATCTGAGGAAGTGGGTCCGGCCCATGAAAGCTCATCACCTAATAAACCATCTTGTTAGTCTTTAAAGTGCTACATAGTTCTGTCTTTTATTTAAGCAAAAGGAAGTATTTCTTCATTCAGTGCATAGTCAATCTGTGCAACTTCTTCCCAGAGAATGTTGTGAGGACCTGGACTTTAACAAGGTTCAAAAAAGAACTAGATACATTCATGGAGGTTAGGTCCATCAATACTTATTAGCCAGGATGGTTAGGATTGGTGTCCCTTGTTTGTTAGGGCTGAAAATGAGTGATAGGAGAGAGGTCACTTGATGATTTCCTGTTCTGTTCACTCCTTCTGGGGAACCTTGCTTTGGTCACTGTTGGAAGATAGGTTATTAGGCTAATGGACCTTTGGTCTGACCCAGTATGGCTGTTCTTTTGGTTTCCAGCTGAATATCTGTGGGACAGTGTTTGTCCTGGATTCCCTGCAGTGCTATTATGCACTTGCTGAAGGCTCAGAGGTGGTGCCAGCCTATTCCAGGTGCGTGTGTGTGTAGGGATGTGTGTATGCGTGTGAGAGAGAAAGAGGGTAGTGGGGAGTTGATTTGGGCCTTAACCCTCCTTCGCCATGAGGCTCCAGCCCCTGGTCCTCCTCTTCCCTCTGAGGCCCAAAGCTAGATTATGTTAAGGGCTGCCCAAGGAGCCCAGGCCATTATGCAGAGCCCCAAACCCTTCACCTGCTCTTGTGGGCGGTAGGGAGAGCGCACAGGTCTGGAACTGCTTTGGGGCTCTTATCAGTGCCGAACTCTGGCTCCTGGTCTGGCTAGGGGGAGGTGTCTCATGGGGAAAAGAAGGAGCAGGAGGCAGGGCTCCTGCATATGACCTGTTTTTGCATTTTGAAAAGGTGGTCATCCTAGTGGATAGGGTACACGCTGGGTCTCCGGAGACATGAGTTCTATTTATGACATTACTGCTTCCTATGTCATCTTGGGTAAGTCATTTCACTTCTCTAGGCCTCTGATTCCCTTCTGACGTTTTGTCTATTTAGAAACAGGTATGCATTTATAAAGTGCCCAGCACAAGGAGACACAATCTCAGATCCCTTAAGTCAGGGCTACTCAACATGCGGCCCATTTGTTTGCGGCCCGCAGTGCAGTTTGGGTTTACGCAGGGCTTAACACGTGGCCCGCAGGTGGGAGCCAAAACAAAATAGTAGTCAATATAATGGTCTTCTGTTGATATGCATTTTAGTAGTTAAATTCCTGGACTGTCATTGTTCATTAAGTGCTGTCATATTGGTGGAAATCGGGTAAATATTGTATTTTATTAATATCAGCAGAACTGACTTAAATAGGGCTTGTGTGTTGTGTAGCCTTGCCTTAATCTTTGTATTCATGCCTGTCAGTGTGAATAAAGCTATTTGCATATATTTGCATATATATGCTATCACATTTAAGTTGCGGCCCTCGGATTGTACTATGAGTATCATTGTGGCCCCCAGGGCTCCTAAAGTTGAGTAGCCCTCCCTTAAGTGTTACAGTAATAAAATAGTTTTATACAAACACATTAAAATACTTTTTCTTTAATGACATGGTGAAGTGTTGTTAGACCATGGGCCTGGGAACCTGGGGCAACCTGATTTCTAATCTCTGCTTTGACCACTGTTACTGTGGTTTTGGGCAGATCATTTAACTTCTGTTTTGTACCCCAACTATAAAATGGGTAAAAATGTCTGTGAATTTACTTCATTTAGATTCACTATGTATCTCAGTTTCTTCAGTGATAAAGACAGGAAGTATAAGTCTGTTGTAGTGTTGAGTAAGTCAAGGAAAGCTGGCTATTTATGTACAGGTTGAACCTCTTAACCTGGACTCCCTGGTCTGGCAACATCCGTTGTCCAGTTCCAGGACCAGAAAGTCCCAGTGGAATGCTTGCAGCTGGGCTCCCCTCAAAGCTGGGCTGCAGCTGGGCTGCTAGGTACAGCCCAGTGGGGCTATCTGGCAGGGCCAGGAGCTTAGCTCACCTTAGTGGGGCTGCCCGGCGTGTCCAGGAGCTTGGTGCGCTGCATCAGGGCTGCCTGGTGTGTTTAGGAGCCCGGCATGCTGCATCAGGGCTGCCTGGCAGGGCCAGGAGTCCAACGTGCAGGCAGCTGGGCTGCCTGGCTTAGCAGGGAAGGAGGGAGGGAACTGGCAGGGCAGCAGGGTTGGTGGGGCAGGGAAATGGCCAGGAAGCCGGCAGCCAGTCCAAGGCTGGGGGCAGGCCGTAGTAGAGGGGGATCAGATATGACCTTCCCTTATCTGGCAAAATTACTTATCTGGGACTGGTCAGGTTCCGAGGGTGCCAAACCAGAGAGGTCCAACTTGTTAGAGAGTTTGGCTGATTAAAGTATGCCATTGTGAGGTGTCTCAGATTAGGCAGCTGTTTTTCCTGATGCTTCAGACTGGTAGAAAAACTGCAGTTTATTGGGACAGGCTTTAGTGTGTCAAATTTTTGTGTGAACTTTTGGGTGGATTCAATTAAATGGAATCGATCTCCAGCACTGGAGCTTACTTCTCCCTCCCCATTTAATCTTTTTGTTTTTCCAGAAAGGGAGGAGAGCAGGACACGATCAGCCTTTCCATAAAAATATCTACCACTCCCTCTGGGTAGAGCTCTCTCATCTTTTTTGTATCTTGTTAAGCAAATGTTACTGTCTACCCTTATGGTTTAGAAATTACTTTTCTTGTGTTCATTTTTAGGTGTACCTCTTTGACACCTGGACCCAGCTGTGATCGGTTTAAGTTGCATATTCCATATGCTGGAGAAACCCTCAAATGTAAGTTAAAATCATTTATACTGCCCATTCTTGACTTCACTCACCCTGCTTTATGTCAGTCACAATACTCTGTACTAACAACTTAATATTTCCCAGTGTTTCAAAGTTGACCATTTTATCATGAATCTTGTGATACTTGGTGTCATCTTAAAGCTCCAACTTCTGGAGTCTTTTGACTTTGAAAATCTTATTTTTGAAAAATGAAAGCTAAGTTTCTAGTTTTCATGGATGCAGAGAAAAGTTTGAAAACATACAAAGACATCAACATGTGTTATTTTTAAAAATGTGATTAAGCCAGTCATAATTTTTAGAGGCCAGACCTTGGGTTGACCTTGCTGATAGTGAGGAATTCCTTATTGGTATAGTATTCAATATTGTATAGAGACACATATAACTGGGGCAGATTAGCATGCTGTGTGATCAGTGGAATTTGGTTTCAGTGATTAAGACTTGCAGACATTTTTTTTGGCTATGTGGATCAAATCTTCCTTTCTAGCAGCCTCTGTTATAGATATTGGCTTGTTTGATCATTGTTGAATGAATATTTGATTGTAAAAATTAGATACAAGAATCAGAACTGTTAAACATCACATCCCTACTTCAGTCAAAGTGAGAAGAAACACAGGAAATGGGTAGCTCAAAGCTGGACCTGGTAGGAGGTGCAGCTACATGACCTAAGGGCTCGTCTCCATGGGAAGCTAGTGTCAGCAAGTTAGGGTGCACAAGTTACTTTGTACTAATTTCCTATGTGAACACTCTTGTGCTTAAGCTCAACCACCTAAAGGCACTTTTGGTGTGCATCAAAAATGTGCACTTGGGAGATAGTGTGGAGTTGCCAGTGTGCTGTTAGTTCACTCTTCCTGCACCCTGATTTCCTCATGTCTTCAAATTAGAACACTGTATAATTTCAGTGTGGTCTACTGGCTTGGTTTATTGTAGTTTTGCTTATATCTGTAAAGTTTTCATGTGTACTTTCTGAAATTCATCATTACCTCTTAAATTTTATTTAGTAACTAGAGGTGGGTCATCAAATTCTTTTTATTTAGGCCAGTCGATAAGCAGGTGTATAGTATATAGTTTATTCCCAAAACTTGTTTTAGTCACACTGATCTAGAAAGTGTTGTGGTACAGTTTAAAGGCTGAGAATTTCTTTGTACTTCTGCATACATTAGGACTTTTAATCTGATTTCACAGCACATAGAAACTATACTTTTACAAACACCAGTCAACAGAGTTATTCTTTAGTGTTGTTACAGGTATTTTAATGGTAGTTTGACATTTACAGCAAAATCTATCATTCTAGGAATTTACATTATGTAGGCCAGGAAATTGCTTTAGTTTTTCTATTTTGTGATTATAGTCCATCTAAACTCCAATATGACTGTCAGGATGAAGTATACATGCAGTCCCCGAGTTACGCGGGTCCGACTTACGTCAGATCCGCAGTTACGAACGGGGCTTTTCTTGCCCCGGAGGACGGGAGCGGCGGGACGCCCAGATGCGCCGTGGTCCGCTGCCCCCGTCCTCCAGGGCGAGAAAAGCTGCTCCCCGTCTCTCTGGTCTGCAGGAAGACGGGGAGCAAAGCCTTGGAGCACGCCCGCAACGGGACAGCCCGGGCGCACTTGAGCTGTCCCCCTGCGGGCGTGCTCCGCGGCTTTGCTCCCTGTCTCCCTGGTCTGCAGGGAGACGGGGAGCAAAGCCTTGGAGCACGCCTGCAGCGGGACAGCCCCGGCGCGCCT